GTATTAAGAGTTGGGCACCTCAAACAATTCTCTTGTTATGAGTCATCAGCAACTCAAGGGCTTGAACCCCAATAGTTGAGCAAATTATAAATTATATAATGTGATTCTTTTATGGAGTAAATTAGTGTCAGTCAAAGTCAAGAATATATGAAACTAGTAAGAAGGACCTAGCTATAGTGTTAGATTTTCTTTTGAAAGATATCAGTGTAGATTTCTTGATCAGTTTATTATTTCTATTTGAAATCTAAAGAGAGAAAACATAATGAGGTAGAAAAAAAAAAAAATTGTTTAGTCTAAGTTAATCTTAGATACAACCCTGTACAGTTTATTATGAGATGATTTTTAGTGGGTAATCGTTTGTTAGTTTCTATGGAATTATGTCTTACTTACTGCTTGGCTTTCTTATTTTTGAAGGCTATATAAACTTTATCAGTATGAATGAACGATACTTCCTAAGTTATGTAGTTAGAAGATTAAAGTTAGAAGGAACAATACCGTGGAACATTATCGAAGAAGTCCATAGCATTTTTCCTAATTATGCTACGGCTAATTAAGGAAGCAAAGATATAGAATTATAAAGTCATTATTGAAAACAAAAGAATGTCTTTGTCAAGTATTTTGTGTCAGATAGTTATGTGTTTGACAAGGTCAGTTTTGTTAAACAGAACATTTATGATGTCTTGTGTTTAAGAAACATGAAAATTTAAAAGAAAAACAAACAATTTCTTTTAATGTTGACAGTTTAATGTTAACCCGCATACTGATTTTTAGAGGGAGCCCAAGAAGATTTTTCTTCTAGATATTGATGCTATTAGTTTCAATTAGTAAATTATATGTTTAAAGATTGGATAAGATAGATGCTCACCTCATTAGAAATTAGAAATAGTTGTTTGTTTCAAAACTAAAATTCTAAGATAAAATGAAAAATTTAATTTACAATTTAATTCAACTTTCCTGACTACTTTGGGATACCAATCAATGAAGTTTCAGTTTTGGTTCCAGTGGAACGTACAGAACTATAAGAATGTTTGTTCTTTTGATGAAAAGATAATTTTGAGATGCTTGAGTGGTAAAAAAAAAAAAAAAAAAACATAGAGAGTTTAGTAGTTTAATCTATTTTAGACTTTAAAATGAGTTTCTTTTGATATAATAGGTAAGTTAGATTACGGTGGATTATTAAAAGAATATGCTTTAGAAAAGATTTGTTTTTTTTGTGGAGATCCACCTTGACAACATATAGTACAAGTGTAACATAGCATAAGAATGATTTTTCTTTCCCCATTTAGATATCTCAAAAATCCAACACTAACTATATAATACTATGTTAGTATCATTATTGAGTAACCGTCCTTAAAGTTTTCAGGATTACATATGAGTTTCATGACACTGCTATCATGAACACTTTGTGAGATAGCAATTCGTTGGCCAGAAGCGATAAAATGGTGAATGAATCAAAAAAAAAAAAAAATCATCCTTCCCCATAACGTAAAAAAAAAAAAAAAATAATGTTAGGAGGAAACTCTTAAAACTGACAGAATGATTTTTTTTTATATTGTAAGGCCAAATTTCAGCAATCAAGGATGAGTTTTAGAAAGAGTCTAGTCCGATATAGTTTTTTTTAAAGGACATGTATGAAATATGTAAGCATACCGGTACAATGTGATTCTAAATTTCATCTTTTAGTAGCATGTGGGATAAGTTTTTATGACGAGGTTGCAATTTAGCATTGTCTTTCTTTTTCATTTTAATAAGCAAACAGGGCAGATCAATTCGTATACATACATTATGTTGTGAGTTGGTGATTTTGTGTGTAGTGTTAGAAGAAAATTGAGAACATTTAAACAAATTTTCTTATCAAGGTAAATTCTCAAGAGACTATGAGGTCTTTATGTAGTCGTAAGTAGTAGTATGTCTCCCGAAGAAGAAAAACATGATCAATATGATATACATTAAAGTCACATGATCCTCAAGTGAAGTAACCTTGTGAAAGGTATTAGAGCTATTATAGATGTACTAAGGCTAAGTCAGAAGTATAAATTGAGATATTATGAGACGTCGTTATCCCGGGTTGTTCTAAGTTTCGAGGACAAAACTTTTATAAGGTGGGAGGGGTTGTAACACCCCGATTTTTTACGAGCTAGTTATATTAATCATCATTATTTATTCAGTCAGTTAAATAAGTTTATTTTATGAATAATGTGATGTATTCTTTTTCTAAGTTTGTCTGTGGCAGGTAACGTTGACTGGTAAGCTCCAACAATTTCAAGGAAAGAAATAAATGATAGTACATATTTTATTAGTATATTATTAAGAGGGAGAATATAATAATTCGATTGGGTCAGATTCAATTTTTTTTAGAAGGCTAAGACACCCCAAATCAGTTATCTTGGCCCGAATTAGTATTTTGGTTAAAAACCCTAAGAAATATTATATACACACGTTTTTATATTCCAGCCGCACCTTCTCCTTCTCTTTCAATCTTCGTACTCTTTCTGGTTTTCTCTCGCGAGACATTGCCCCACACTTTCAAAACCAGTACTCTAGCTTTCTTGGTTTTGAAATCCGGTAAGATAATTTCCATTGTATTCTCTCTACTTTTATTTGTTCAAATCCAGTATTGGTTAGATGCATAAGTTTCTGAAGAGATTTTGATAATTTCTTTGGTCAAATAAAGGTTAGCAAAGCTCCGTTTTTGTAAATTGCTAGACCCAAAAGATTCTTTTAAATTTGATTTAGCTTTTGAATGTCCATTTGTTAATAGCTATTTCAATTTCCGGAACATAATAACCATATTGTTTTTATCTCGGCAAATCAATTGACCTTGGATTTCAATTGATGTTGCTCAGGTTTAGTTTTGGTTATTCGATACTTAGCAACTCAGATTTCAGAATCTATATTTGTTTAGTTAAAATTTTGCAATGCATTTTTAGTTTATTTTATCGTGAAGCCTATTCAAATCTAAGCAGCATTTTAGTCTTGTACATAAGTCTTATTAAGAAAAGCTCCATAGTTGGTCTTTTTGGAAAAGTTTTAAATTGAAATTCATGAGACCTGATTTAGATTAAATATAAGAGTGTTTTCTAGTTCGCAAATGTTTTTCTTTTAACTAGAAGAGAGTGTTTTCGATTTTAAATATAAAAATGAGATGTTTTGCATGTGGCCGTAAGGGCTGCATTGGCATAGTTTTTATTTATTCATGTAGATAGTTGACTTCTAATCTTAGTGAGCTACGTACTGCATCATGTTTTAAAAAGAAAAGATGTTTTCTTGGATCCTTTTGTACAGAGCAGCAAGAAATTAAAGTCGTTTAGTTTATTTAAGGACAGAACTAATTGTAATTTTATTGCTAAATCTAAATAAAGATTTCAAGAAAGAGCTTACCGGAAGATGTTATCAAGGTGCCACACTTATTTGAGTGTTTTGAGTTCAGCCGTTAACAGGTAAGTTCACTACCACCTGTACATGTTTGTTCAACCAAATGAAAGAAAGAAGTCTGGTTGATTTTTAATAGATAATTTTAGACTATTTGCTATTATGTGAACTATGTGAATTATGTGATGAGTTATTTTATTGCTAGATTAAGTTATGTTTATTATCTGGCATAGTCAAGATTTGTTAGTACTTTCGTTTCCAGATTTAATGATGTTTAGTCAAACGTCACCATAAAAAGAACTAATACTTAAAGTGAAAGATTAAGTGATATGTACTCGGGAACTAGATCCCTCAGATTAGCAGTTTTAGTTTTAGATAGTCCGATATGTTTAGTGGGTCGCTCCCCTGAGCTGTCGGATTGGCGCCATTGAGTACATATCACGGGCCCACAGTTAAAATTAGCCACAAAGAGTTTTACAGAAATTTTATGAGATCTCTTTCAGAAAGTTTTACAGAAAGTTTAATGAGATCTCTTTCAGAAAGTCTTACAGAAAGTTGTTTTTGAGATCTCCTTCAGAAAGTTTACAGAGATGTTTTTTAGAAAGAAATTTTGAGATCTCTCCAGCAGTTTTGAGAAATTATTTTAGAAAATATTTCCTTTTGAGATCTCCCTCAAAATGAATTTGAGAAGATATGTGTTATTGTGTTAGTTACTTGTTCAGTGCATGCTTATAGCCTAATTTTATCTATTGATAAATTAGCATAGACTTCTCATATATTTTTGTGGATCCATAGTGACTTACTAAGCGTAAAGCTTATCAGTTTTCTTTCTTCGCATGCACAGATACTAAGGGTAAGGCCAAGGCCTAGGAAGATGACGAGGGAGTGGAACGCGTGCCAAGATGAGTTAACGGGAACGACCTTGGTGGCTTCTAGCTAGATAATATTTGGTTTCAGTATTTCAGTGTTATAATAAAGTGACTTATATTACTTTATCTTTTTTTATTTGAGGATTTGAAGTTTTAGCAAATTCCTGGATCCAGGTGGTTATCACATGTGCTGGTGATAACTATATTTTATTGAGTTTTTATCAAGAGTTATACTTTAATTATATTTGAGATTTTATCAGGGTTATTTTCTTAAATAGACGACCGTTAATTGCAGCTATTTTTTTTAAAAGTAGTAAGTTAGTGTAACGATTCCTTTAACCCTGAGAGGGGCGTTACAAAAGCTTTGCCGATTAAGAGGCTCATCATAAGGTCAAAAATAACCTGAATGAAAGCCCACCCAATCTGGCTCAATCATTAAGATCCTAAGGGTTAAAAATCGGTAACGTCTTCCTTGAAATAGGAAAGACAACCTTGACCGTAAATTCAAGGCAAAAACGAGTAAGGACAATTGTGATCATAAACGAGCTAATAAGCTTAAAGCGGTTAGGGAGGCCTGAAGGTCATCCCAGGACCTACAGCAATACAGGCTCAAAAGAAAAGACAAAATCAGAGGCCAATTTCCCAAAAGATCAGAGCCTAAGAGAAGCAAATTAGCCCCAACAAGGCTGGAAAGCCTCAGAAAGTCAGAAGTGTCAAACAAGATCAAGCGAAACAACATCAAATAGATAATAAGCAGTTGAGAGATATATGCAACAAAAGTAGAGAAAGTAAAGGCGTTTAGAGTTACAAACTACCCCTAGGGTGGAAAACAACTACAGGCACGCAAGCCTGAAAATGATGTTTGTTAAAGTGTTTGAATAAATCAATTACCATGCTGGGAGGGAGGAACCTCCGAGGCAGGGTTGGCTAGGGCTGGGCTCTCTTCAGCAATTTCGAGGCCCCATGGAGGGCTTCCGGATTCTCCATCAAGTCTGGTAACCCCCAGGCCTGTGTTGAGAAGGATGGGTCCCTTTTTTGAAGGAGCTCGTATAAGGACTTCTGCATCCCGTACTAACCCAGCTTGAAGCACAGAGCCCCCTCCCGTTCCAGTCTGGCTTTACCCTCAGGAGTCTGAAGCCAGTCCTGGGCAATCTGAGCCCGGCGACCCAGAATAACCTGCTCCACCTTGGTAAGGAAATCCGCACTTTCCCGGAAGGCCTGGATAGTGGCGGGACCAACCTCCTCAGCTTTTCTCCTCAACTCCCCCTCCATGATCCGGTGAGTAGCCTCAACATCATCTAGCCTCTTCTGCAGCGCGCCACCCTTATGCACCGCCGCCTCCAGCCTTCACTTCAGGTCTGTCGTTTTCTCTTTAGATCCACCAGTAAGGTCTGGGTGTCATCATGACCCTCGTCTAAACGACGGGAGCCAGAGGAAGCCAGAATGAAGGCCTGAAAACAGAAGGATCATAGCCATAAGAGGCAGACAAGCTGGGTTTTCCAAATATGACCATGAATGGTAAAATGAGAACATACCTCAAACATGGAGTTGATGGCACGTCGGATGGCTGCCTGAGAGGATAATTCCTTGATTTCCTCGGCGTCAACAGGAGGGGTGACGACCAAGACCAAGGCTACAGGGTTCACAGTGCGGCGGAACAGGGAGGCGGAGCCTGACTTCATGGAGAGCCGGACGGTGTGAATAGGTGTCGTGGCCTTCCCCTGATCGCCACCTCCTTGAGACTGCGCGTCCGAATCGGAGTCAACATCTACTAAGTCCTCAGTAGGTTTCACAGCAGCTTTGCTCTTCTTTTTCGACCCGAAGATAGGCTGGGTTGTCGGCCTCTTCCCAACCCCCTTACTAGTGGGGAGCAGAAGGTCAACAACTGGCATGGTCATAGTCACAGCACTATCCCCCCGACTTCTCTAAGGCAGCCCCAATTGCTCCCCAGGTCTGGATCTTCCTAAGCGGGACCAAGGGACCAGGGGTGGCTCCAGCCTTCGCAGCAAGTCGTTCCAACCGGGATGTCATGTTATCACCCTCTGCATCAAAGCCAAAACCTTATCAGAAAAGTTAAACAGACACAGAGAAACAAAATGAATACCAAATCAGGCATAGCTGACCTAGCAAAAATGTAAGCATATCCACCCCATCCTCACCTACGTAATGCCCCATCAGAAAGGGAGAGTCATCAGCAATCAATTTGGCGGCCTCAACATTCCCCTATCGCAAGAAAGGCATCACCCACCTTCGGATCAGTCCCCCCCCCACACTTGTTCTCCAACTGAAGCTTGACGTTTGCTGGGGTGACCCAGACCCATTTCTGTCTCCAACCCTTAAAGGAGTCAGGATAGGACTTGGCCTCAAATAAACGATGGCTAGCCCATTGGGAGATGGAGAAATAACCCAGTGATTTGGAGGCATCAGTCTTTACAGAATGGAAGAAGTGGAGGAAAATATCAAGATAAGGGTGGACCTTCTTATGAACACACCGGGCAATGAACCCAGCAATGAACATATGGGTAGTCAGGGTAAGCTGACCCGGAATCACACCGTAATGGAGCATAATGTTCAAGTGGGCATATGAAGCGGGAAGCGGAGCCCAACTTGCAGACTAGCCAAATGGACCCCAAAGTGAAGGGGAGAATGGGGCTCTACACTGTTCTGACCGGGAGAAGAACGAGAACAGATAACACTAGGGCCCGTGAGGGCCACTGCCTCATTGAACTCGGAATCAGAAAGGGCGACGACCGGGACTCTCTGGGCATGTTCAGAAGAAAGAAAGAAGTGGATCTCAACCCCATGGGAGTCCACAGGAATTTGGGGCCGATTCGAGGTGGCCCCATCATCGGGAAACACATGTTTGATGGGAACCGAACTAGAAGAAGACATTGGAAAACTGACCAGAGGAAAAATGAATGTGAAGGAGAAGAGTTCTTGCGGTCTAGGGTTCCCAATCAAGAAAGTGGAATGCTTGTGCGAGAGTAAAATTGCAGAAGAGTTTCATGAAAAATAATGGTCGTTTAAATAGCCAAGAAATTAGGGCGTGGCAACCGCTTGGAAACTGCAATCGAGGCACGTGAGTGCTGAAGCTGGTAGGGCGGATTGGAAGTTATGTCGGGCTGCATGCATGTGTCAAATTGGACGCATTTTGTTGGTCCCGTTTGATTAGGTAATCAGTCTAGAGGGGGGGGGGGGTGAATAGACTGATTCAAGTTTTTCAACTTTTCTCTAAGTCAGAGTTGACTTATCAGAGAGGGTCGAGTTCTGATGATCAGAACTGGTCTTGCAGCGGATAAGAGTTCCGGGTAGCCTCAAACAAATGCTAAGGCAAGTGCCTTTCTGATAACTCTGAGAGCAGGATCTGCTGAACACAGATTCCAAGTCTTAGAGTTATACAGTTAAAATCCTAAGTGCAGTATTTAAATTGTTGTAAAGTAAATGACACCGGGGTTTTTATAGTGGTTCAAGGAACAACGCGTTCCTCTAGTCCACTGTTCCACTAGCTTTGAGGTAAACGATTACAAAGCTTAGTCCCTAGCACTTAAGAAGTTCTCATCGCCTTCTTCAAGTCTAGTTGTCACCCGGGATGCAGTCCTGCTTCCTGATGACTGGTCCTTTCACTCAGCTTCCCGGAAGTATCACCACTTCGCTACTACAGTTACTTGGACGCCCTTCTTTGCAGAAGCTGTTTTGAAAACAGAGTTTTCTCCAACTCGCTTCGTTACAAGAGATATGTAGTTGAAGTTCTTGAAGTTTGAAGAGTAGGATGAACTTTGCTGTGTGTTGGGATTGGAGGATATGGATATTTGAATCTTCCCAACGTAAGCTTGTCTTGTTGATGATTGTAGAGTTTGAATCTCAAGAGAGCTTTTTGAATGTTACGGTGAGCAAAGTTATTCTCCTGTTCTTCAATGTGTAGCTTATATACTGGGGTTGTCTGCCCGTTGGAGGAGGAGACAACTGCATTAAATGTGCGTACTGTTGACTTGACCCACTAATTTGGAAGCTTTCTATTTTTATAATATATCTTCCAGATTTCTCGGTCAATCATTTGCAATCAATCCACGGCGTATCAGGCTCATTTATTGTGCATTTAAGAGCTTTCCTTTCATGCACAATCTTCTAGCCATTAGTTTCACAGCCGTTGGAAGTTGTCTTGAAAATTCTTCTAAGTGTCAGTCGGACTCTGATCGGGCTCTTCTGATATGTTGGATTCTTATGGCTTTTTGATAAGTGATTCTGATAAAGCTTGGAGTCGAGCTCTGGTATCGGAACTCTGATGCTTTCATGATGAGCAGCTCTGATGCAGTTGGGTTCTGATGAAGCTTAACATCGAACTCTGATGATTCTCTGATGAGAAACTCTCATGTCTTCCCGAGAGCAACTCTGAAAGCACTTCTCATAGAGCAGCTCTGATCAGATCCATAAGAGAGCAACTCTGATCGTCGACTACACTAATACTTACAATTGAAAATTCTAATACACAAAATCTAATTGGGGTACTTTAAAATTCTAATCTAATTATCCTAGCATCATCAAAATCTAAATACATTTATTCCTTACACATTTGATGTGGAGTGGCGCTACACTTCATCAGAGATTCGAAATTTAAAGTACCCGCTCAATTACTCTCCTAAAATCCAGCCCTGCTGGGTTTGGAGAGTAGGGGGCTCGTGATGGTACTATGGATCAAACCTTTGGCCAAATTATGGAGTTATAGTTAAAGCCCATAAACGGGATCAAACCCTCAACGGGATTAGCCCATAAACAGGATTAGCCGTTAATGGGATCGGCACATAAATGAGATTAATATTGATTAGCCAATGGGCCTGATTAAGTGATTAGGAATGAGACTCACGAAAGGAGCCCACAGCCGGGTCGGGCTGCACAGCAGACCTCGAGCCTGAGCGGAGTTCTAGTGAGGTTGGACTTTCCTTATGGCTTACGTGGTAGGCTATCGTTCGCTCATAGCTATCTGGGAGCAAGCAGGTAAACGGAAGAAACATGGATTTAAAGGAGATAATCATTGCACAACGTCCAAGGCGTTACATGAGTCTATTTCGATTAATGGGCATTTAATGTATTAGTTTCCTCCTAGAACACTAGTTCCTACATTCTATAAATACTTCCTGTATATTTCCCATGAAGGGACCGGATTCAAGATTAATAATACTGCCTTACGTTACCCAAATTTCATCTGCTCTCGTAGATATAGCTCCCGTAGTTGGATACTTGGATTAAACTCCATCACCAACGTTAGATTCACATGTAAGCATAGTGTCTAATTTGATCTTTCTTTCTAAGGAATATTTATGAACCAATACAAATCCTTTGAAAAGGAAAATCTTTTCCATTCAACTTTTAAAAGAGTAGGTTAGGGATGTTTTTTTTTCAAATGAGTAAAAATCATATGAAAATCTAGGAGTTCATTGTGAAATTATTTGTCCTACTTTGACATTACCGAAAATCAATATGACAATATTAAAATCTTACTATCTTAGTCCAATGTTTTCAAGAAATATAAGTAATCACTCTTATTTTAGAAAAATAATAACAAGCCTGCTATAGGTACCCCAACCTATTTTTGTGGCTCACAAAAGCCCACCTCAATAAATGAATTGCCCCACTTTAATGAGGTGCTTTTGTGAGCCACAAAAATAGGATGCGGGTACAAATTGGGGTACCAATTGATGTACTTTTAGCATTTTTCAAATAATAATAGTTTTATCATTTTTGAATTTCACGCTAATTTTAATCCTATTTATGCCATTTTTAAGGAGTACGTAGTACTCCGTACTAGTTATAGTTTGAGGAAAATATGGAATCATTTAAATATTCAAAGACTACGTTGAGAAATCAATAATAAATAGAACCAACATTATTTCCAATCCAACACGATTTAGCAGACACACTCAAGTGTCTTTAGTACACATAAAACACTTGAACACCAACAACATAAACTTCTTCAAAACAAACACACAAACATCAAATAGATGCACAACAATTTAAATTACCTAGGATTGGATTTGTGCCCAAGAAAATAGATCGAGCACATAGATTTATTGATGAAATATTAGTTGATGAGTAATGATTAAGCAATGCCCAACCACTGCTTCACTGTCTGGGTAAGCTTGTGAGGGTCAGGAAGAGACTTGGAGACACTCTCCCTCTCCATGCACCTCTTAGCCCAACCAATCAACTTGGGACACTCAGCTTCTATGCTGAAATTGCCAAAGCTCTCAAACACATTAAACCAGCTGTAGAATCCAATGAGGGAAATATCCACAAATCCAAACTTTTCACCCCCAAAGTATGGCTTCTCTCCCAGTTCACCTTCTAACACCTTTAGGACTTCTATAAACTCCTTCTTTCCAGCCTCTTGTTCTTCTCCTTTTAAAGTCCATGTTTTCTTACTAGTTTCATAAACCTGTAGTTGTGCAAAAATGAGATCATCTCATCATATGCCCATTGATGTGTATAAAATTGGTCAAAATACTGTCCGATTTATCAGTACAATTAGTAGTCTTTTTTACTTGCTTGACTAAAATAGATGTTACCCGACACTTGGTGTTAGCAAAATCAGAAAAACATCCCTTACCGAGAAGGCCAAAATTCATAAGGATCCGATACTAAATTCGGAAAATTGTTTGACATATTCAATATGAAATCCCTTTTCTTAAATACTCCACATCATACCTCTAGGGTGGACAATTCGGTTTACAATTCTGTTTTTATCGATTTAGGTTCGGATTCAGTTTATTCGAGTTGGGAGATTTTGTATCAAACTAAAATAATTTGTGTTCCGGTTTGGTTTTGGTTCATATTGGGAATGGTTCTATTTGGTTTGGACTCAAGTTCAATTACTAAAGTGAAGATGATTTGGTTGAATTTAGTTTGGGTTGATTCGGTTTTATATATTTATTTCTTTATTTGATCTATACACCCTGTTGCATTTATTATTTAAATAAAATGTTAAGGAAAATAAATGAGAAAACATAAAGTATTATAAATTAACACCTAATTGCTTTTACTAGGATTGATGACATGAAAATGTCTAGCTGTTTCTCAACAACTAGAAAAAAGATAAGAATTTGTCTTAAATGGGACTAAAACATTAAGGAAATTCCAAAGTAGGACTACAAGTTTATAATTTCCAAAATAGGACACCAGATTACATTTTTGCCCTCCTATATTAATTCAATCCACCGACTTCTATCCCGATCGATTCCGTTAATCTGCAACTTCTCTCTTTGCCTTGGAATTGCAATCCTTCATTTGTGATTGAACACAACGACTGTGCCTGCGATGGAACGCAGCCCCTACTTCATCAACGGCGGCCGCCCTCCCCATCGACGCCAATCGTACCTATTTTGCCGGCGAAAATAGGTAATCCTCTCCAACTTTCTTATTCTTCTTCCCCTTTCTTCTTTTTTTTTTTCTTTTTTCTTCTTCTCCTTCCTTTGGTGCTCTGTTTGCTTTTTCTTAGAATGATTTTGATTTCTCTTAATTCTTTTACTTTTCTAAAAAAAATCTCACTTGTAACCATTTATATTCAACGTGAGGTTTCAACCAACAACTTTTTATTTGAGCTGTACGAAGTATTATGATTTTGATTAACTGGGATTGGATTTGATTTTTTTTATTAATTTGGATTTTTTGTGTTTGAATTTTATTTTTTCAGAAAAATGTCACTTTTATAATCTGAGAATGTCAAAATTATTGGTTATTTGAAAAAATTGTCATGTTTGTGGCAGTATATTTATCAAGATGACAGTCTGAAAATGTCATATGTCCGTAAGAAAATGTCATTATTATGGCATTTTTTATGACATATTTGAGAATGCCATTTTTTGAAGAAAAAAATGTCACTTTTATGGCAGTACTATTGCAATCTTACTTTGAAATTATAACATTTGTAATGTCATTTTTTCAAAGTGAGGTTGCCATCTTTATAAACATGTTGCCATAAAAGTGGCATTTTCTTCTAATAATTTTGACATTCTCATATTAGAAAAGTGACATTTTCCAGAATTTACCAGAATTAAACAAAATTGGAAAACAAATATAAATTCAAATATGTTCGATCATGGTCATACGTTGAAACTCACTTTTCATCTCAAATTTTAGATCCAAAATACTATTTTCATTTGTTAATAGAAAAAAATTGAAAAAATTAAAATACAGAGATCCTGGAAGAAGACGAGAAGTGGAGGAAGAAGAAGAAAAGAAGAAAAGGGAAAAAAGAAGAAAAGAAAGAAAATAAGAAGAATAAATGAGTTAATTCCCTGCTATTCACTTGACGGTAGGAATCTGGAGATCTGCAAGAGATGGTTCGCAGAGTAGCAGCGGCTCCATATGGAAGCCTGGAGTTCTATATTGAGGGGCAATTTTGTCAAGCAGCTATATTTTAGTCCTAAAAACGTTCAAAAAAACATGGTAATCCTAGTTTTGCATTTTTCTATTGTTTTAGTCCCATTTAGGAAATTTACTCAAAAAAGATTCCCCTTTTATCATAGTTTTAAGTTTATAGTTGATTAACATTTATAATATCAAATAAATTGTTCAAAGAAAACTAAATGAGTCCGCGGTAAAAAATGTTGTATACTTCATATTTTTATTCAAATGTACTCCCAATGTTCCATTCTAAGGTTCTGTTTTCCTTTTTTGGACGTCCCATATACATGTTCTCATTTATATTTTAGGAAACAATTAACACTCTTAAATGATAATTTAATCATCAAATTTTATATATAATACATCTATAACATCACAGTTATCATCAGTGACCTCATTATATTATATACCCATCATAACTATTTTTCAAAATATACTCGAATTACATTATTTAATTATTTTCTAAATAATTGTGTCATTTCACAATGGAAACCTTTAAGCAGGACAAAGGTAGTATATTGTACTACGTAGTACTCCCTCCGTTCCTAATAACTTTGCCAAATTTGACCAACGTGAGGATTAATAAAGTAAAAACTGTGTAGTTGAAGTTTGTGCAGAGAAGAGAGAATTAACTGGAACCACAAATTCTTTACTTAAATGAGAAAGTAACAAAGTTAATATGACATCCAAAAAAGGAAAGTTGGCAAAATTATAAGGGATGAAGGGAGTATAATTTAACTGAATTTGATATAAATTTAATGTGTTATTATCATCACCAAACATATTTTCATATAGCTTACAAAATATATCAAATGCAACTATGTTATACAAAGTATCAACTAACTTAGTTATAATGAATGCATAAAATGTGCAAGAGATAAAAATTATACTCCATATATGCTAAACATATATTTTTCATATTTAAATTATTTATTTTTATTCTCAAGATGAAAGTTGAAGACATAAAAAGTTTTTTAATAATAATAAAAAAACTGTTCTGTTCGATTTATGACTTTTCAATTTAAAATCAATCCATACCATTCAATTCGTCCAAATTTTACCAAAAAGTTTATTTAAGTGAACCTAAACTAAATGAAAATACGGAATTCGGAACGATTCGGCTGTACCAAACAATTTTGTCTGCCCCAACTCCATACAAGGACTATGCTAGGTCCCACCATCCAAAAATTAGCATAGACTTTGATGAAATTTATAGAAAAAATTGCACTCCATAAAAGTCTATCTCAAAAAGTCTTTTTAGGGTTTGTTTGAAACAGTTTCTGCTTTTAAAAAAGTGTTTTTTTTAATGAAATGGGGAGAAGTGATTAAATAAAAGTTGATAGTGTTTGAGAAAAAAATGATTTTGAAAAGTAACAGTCGGTAGTGTTTGGTAAAATAAGTGTTTTTTGTGTAATAGAAAAAGTAAAAGCACTTTTGACGCGGAAGCCGATAAAAATAAAAATTGTAGTGTTTGGAAAAATAAGTGCTTTTTTAAAGCAAAAAGCTAAGAAGTGCTTTTTTAAAAGGAGTTGCAAACCAACCCTTACTACTTCGGCGGCCTCCATCATTGTCTCTTCAATTCTTCCAAAACTTCGGCGGCCTCCATCATTGTCTCTTCAATTCTTCCAAAACAAGTATCACATTTCACTTTATTATAATGAAAATCATAATCTCACTTCTTATTTTTTAACCATTTTATTAATAATTGTGTCAAATTAAAAGAAGACATGTGGAACGGAGGTAATCATATGTACTAATTTTTTAACAACATGTAGGCGAATGATGGATTGTAGGGATCAATTTGTTGGACGCAAAGGTTGACTCAAAAACACGCCTTTTTTTAAGAGAACTCAAAAACACGCCTAAACTATAGACGGAGTAATACATTTCTATAGCTGTTTTTTACTCAACTCCAGGAGGTTTTAAGCTTTATGTCGTTATATTTTTTGAATTACACTTCATATGTTAACAAAAAATTATTCATCTATCCTTTTTAGGTGGGCAAGTAAGTACACTTTATATAGATGAAATTATATAGAGATTTGCAATTTCTTTTTAATTGGATTGTAATTTTCTGATATGATCTTGTTTGGTCTGATTTATTCAAATCTTGTTTAGGCCAGTAAATGTATGATCGTTGTGTATTTTACAATTGTCAAAATTTGGTCTAATTAGTTTAATTTTGGTCTAACCTATTTTGTCTTGGGACAAAAACACCCTTAGTAAACTACATTTGTTCCTTTTTATTTAGTCAATCACTATTTTCCTAATCAATGATGCTCAACTTTGACCGTTTATATATTTATACACAATAATATTGAAAATGATATGAAAATATTATTTGTTAAAAGTACTATAAAGTATAACTTTATTAAGTTTCACGAATATATATTAATTAAAGTTGGCTAAATAAAAAGAGATGAAAGTAGTATATTTTTAACTTTCCACATATAGTTATAAAAATTCCAATTGAGAAATTCTTAAATCATAAAATGTTTCTCAATCCGTTCCTAATCAAACTTCCATATTTTCCTTATGCATGTCTCAAAATAATCTTTCACTTCTTCATAAAGAATTTGTGATTCACAGCCTCATTCTTACACATTTGTCTCTTTTCTGCCCAACTTTTCACCGCACAATATCCAATATCTTAATTTGGAATTATTTGGAAGTTAATTTAGGGACAACTAAAGATCGAGTTTTTCTATGGAAATTGTACTTCTCTGTTGGCAAATCCTTAGAGCATCTCCAATGCTATAATGTGCACGGTGCACATGTGGCATGAGTGATAGCCACATAAATATTAGCATATAAATTATCTCTCTCCTTATTTGAATGATTTTATACAATTTTGGTAAGTTTTTCCCTGCAATGTCAACAACAATGTCAACATCCAGACGGTCTTCTTGACATTGTGGAGAAAAACTTACCAAAATTGTATAAAATCATTCAAATAAGGAGAGAAAGAATTTATTTACTAATATTTATGTGGCCATTTCTCATACCACGTGTGCACTGTGCACATTTTACCATTGGAGATGTTCTTAAATTGCAACCAAGTAAAGTTAGAGGCTAATAAAGAGCATGAACAACAGTTACACCAGTAAATGGGAGAACAAAATAATTGTATACCTTCTTGTCAACGAAGTCGGCCCAGAATTTAGCCTGGGATTTCTGGTAAGGATCGGACGGGAGCAAAGGGGCTTTGTCCTTCCAAACCTCGTCAATATACTCCACTGCGATGTTTGATTCGCAGACCGGCTTGCCGTTGTGGATGAGAACCGGGATCTTCTTGTGAACCGGGTTCATCTTCAGAAGCAGCTCGCTCTTGTTCCTGAGGTCCTCTTCTCTGTACTCATACTTAATCTCCTTCTCGGCCAGGGCAATTCCCACCCTCATCCCAAACATGCTCGGCCAGGAGCTCAACAATATCACTTCTTCTTCTTGAGCCATTTCACTCACCAAAGAACAAAAGCAAAAAAAGAGGGAGAGAAGGAAATGTAACTGGATAGGACTTTGGAGGATACTGTTAGGCTGATAACTGCAGCTTCTTAAATAGAGTGGTTAGTTGTGTGTGCAGCTGCGGGGAAATTGCCCCTCAAGGCTCAAGGTCAAAAGATATTTGAAAATTTATTTTTATTTCCTCATTTTGAATATAATATCTACAGAGTAAATTTTAGAGGTATTTACCTAAATAAGAGTAAATCCATCTTTAATTGCTAAATTAGGAGTAAAGTTTAAATTTTCCCCCCAAATGGGACTTATTATATGTAATTGGACACATAAGTCCCTGAAAGTTGCCAAAGCTAACTGTTGTCGACAAACTTCAGACCACCGCCGGCCGCCGGCCACCACAACCACCGCAGAACTGGTCACCGCTAAAGACATGGCTGCTACTACAGATCTGATAGTTTTCTCTGCAGATCTGACTGTCACCTTCATGGATCTAGTCGGATCTGACCACACCGCCCGTCTTCCGCCGCCCCTGAAGATTTGGCCGCCGCCTCTATAGAATTGACCTCCTCCGCTGCAGATTCGGAGCCCACCGTTGCAGATCTGACTGATCCCATCACTTATGCCGATATTTTCATTAGAATGCCAACATGAATTTAGAATGCCATATGAATGACATTTTCAGAGGGAAATATGAAATTTGTGAAGTATAAGAATGCCATTTTTCTGGCAATTTCAGATTAAATTTGGAATTTGTAATCGACCAAATAAGAAACAGAGCTTGGAAAGACACTACAAAAAAAATCATTTATAGAGGCAACACTTTGAAGCAATTTGCCTCTAAAAGACCTTTTTAGCGTCACATAAATCTTTGTTGCCTCTAATCTTATAAGATCTCAATACATTTGAGGCAACCATAATTTTCTTGTTACTAAAAGGTATTATGTGGAGCAACCGTCTTAGGGTTGCCTCTAAAACCTTGTTGCAAAAGCATGGCCGCCCCTAAAGGTATTATTTGGAGACACCTTCTTAGGGCTGCCTCTAAAAGCTTGTTGCAAAAGGATAACAGTTCCTAAAGGTATTATTTAGAGCAATCTTTTTAGAATGTTTTTACTTGGACTGTTTTTCACTCCCATATTAGACTGGATCAGACTAGATCAGCCCAGACCAGACCATATCAGACCAGACTTGAATAGTTAAAAAATACATAGAGGCCAGACGTTTATCAGATCAGATCACACTAGTTCAGATCATACCATATCAGACCAGATCAAACAAAAAAACAGAGACAGGGCCACACACCCAAAAAAATGAAAAAAATATGCCATTTTTTGAGGCCGTTTGGCAACCCTCTTTTTCAGCTTATCAGGCTTATCAGTCAACTTTTTCACCAAACACGTAACTTTTACTTTCGCGTGCTGCATTGTGTAATAAGCAAAAAAGTAAGGTTGGAGTTACTTTTCTGGCTGTATTGGCTGAAGTTATTGTAGATGACCATTTTAGCTATTTTTACATATAATTTTTTCTTTATTATATTTACAAAATATATTTTAAAAATATTTTTTTTCTAAAATCAGCAGAATCAGCCAATGCAGCCACTTCAGTCAGAACTTCATAAATTTCAATAGAATCAGCCAAAAAAGCCGAATTTCGTACTACCAAAAGGGCTCTTTATCTTTTAAAATAGGGAAAACTGTCAAATAGGTTCTCGAACTTTCATTAAAAAGTTAATTAAGTCCTTCTATAGGAGACTCTGTTCGGTCGTCGCGATTTGGAGCGGTTCCCGGTGGGATTTTTTGATGAAATAAGGGGTGAGCGTGATGAGTTTTCAGCCCTACTCTCTAACCGAATAATCATTTTACCCGGCCCAGGCTCAACTCCGCGTTTGAGAATACACCAAACACGCGTCACTGGCCTGTCTCGTCGCACTCTCGCCAAATCATTCGCGAACTGAACACCTCTACTCTTAATGGTTGAACCGTCAAAGTCTCCCAGACAAAGACGCAAGGAGTTCAGGCACGCCGCACGCAGCGGCGAACTAACGACGGTCGATAGCCTTCGTCCTCCCGTTCTTAGTGGACTGAGGACCCGACCTGGCCACCTGTGATTCAGATTTCTGCCAACCTGCGATTTCGATTCTTCCCAGAACCCAGCCTCTTTCGGCCCTTTGACCCCTTGCCCTTCCCCTTTCCGACTTCCGTTCCTCAATTCTCGACTCGTGGTATACTACTAATTTGCTATCCTGCTAATATAGTTTTTATATCGATTAGTTTAATGGTTCAAAATCATAGTTGTAAGTATTTTGTTTTAGTTTTCATGTTTGAGATTTAAACTTGAAGAACTGGTTTAATTTTGTTTGTTTTCTCATTCCTAAATAGATTAGAGTTTTTCTAGTTTTTCAAGCTTTCCTGATTTTGGTAAGTAAAGAAAATTAAGTATTTCTAACAAACTGATAGTGATACAAGTATGTAAGTTGAGAAGATGGTTGCATTAGCTAAGTATTTCCGACAGCTCTTGCACTCCCTCAATAATCCATTTCAGGTAATTATGCCATAAATGTTTTGATTGCTGCACTTGAACGAAAAGGGAAGGGTGTAGTTTGGCATAACTAGTGAATGGTAGCTTCTGCTATTGACCTTAGTGAATGGAAGCTTCTGAAATGATGGGTATTATAGTAAATGTACCTATTAGGAGGTTTTTTGTCCCGTGGAGGGCCAAACATTGGGTTCCATTAAGAAGAACTGGGGTGGTTTGGTATAATTTGGACAATGAATTTTATGCTCCTTATGCTTTTGAAGATATAGATGAAGTCAGGAAGTTTTTGGGTGGAAGATTTGCTTCTGGCGCTGAAATTTTACTGGCTAGTGATAAAAAACAGTGATGAAACTTTGAATCTCTTTCAAATCTTTTCTGGAATTGTGGACTGTAACTTTATGTACATTCTACATACTCTATGTGATAGCCTTGTCTTGGTTGTGTTTAGTTATTGTTAAAAATTATCTTAAGAAACTACAAATTTTTAAAAAATAGCCAAGTTTAGGGTATCATAGCTAATTAATCTCCATAAAGTCATATTTCAATTTTTTAACCCCATGATGCATTAGTTTATTAAGACCGTAATTAGCCACCTTTGAAGACGGATTTCACGTACTGATGTCAGAGGTAGTTAATACTTGTCCACAAATTATCATTTGACTATTGATTTTTTTGGTTGTGCGTTTTTTGGTCTTTGCATAATCATTGGTATTTACTTGTCTCATTGCATAATTTTGTATAGGTGTTGGTTCCACAGTTGATGTTGGTGTGTATATTATAGTTGACACTATTGCTATAGAGCACACAGGCCCAGCAGTCACCCTTTTACTTTTTTGTTGCTGGGATAGCAGCTGCACTTTCTGCCTTCTGCTATGCAGCTATGTTGAGCTGGGAGTGCAAAAGTCGTAATCCTTCTGCTGGGAGTGCCTATTACTATTCTTACATATGCATTGGAGAAGGGTAATGCATAAAGTTTTAGCATTAGCTTTTTAGCTTTGGCAAGTTTTCTTTTAAGCTTGCAAGTTTTCTTGTTCAAGTTTGCCAGTCTTAACATTAGCTTTGGCCGATCAAGTCTGTAGGCTTAGCTTTGGCCAATCAAGTATGTAGGCATAGTGATATTAAGAAATACTGCTAGTTGATCTAAATACTAAGAGCTTTTTTCCTTCTCCAGAAGCTCATATAATTAAGCTTTTCCTTTGCTGGATTATTATTTTTTGGCAGGTTCTGATTGAATTGCATTAAATGACATTGTAAAAACACGGGAGGGCATCTTGGTATTGTTTTCATTTTATTTTATTTTGGGTGCATATATATTCCTTAATTCTTAATGTTTCTATCTGGTGCCTCAGTTGTAACTCTTGAAGAGACCTTCTTGCTCGGATTAATCTGAAAGAGCATTATTGATGTGGCTATCGGCCAAGGTTTCCGGGTTGAAGAACAATTTCGGTCGAGAGAGGAATTGCTTCATGCTGATGAAGTATTCTGAACTGGTACAACTATGGTTGTCTTCTCCATTGGCAGCATAACCTATTTAAGAAAACGGTGAGTCTTCTTATAACAATACCTTTTCTTCGTCATGTGATATACTGAATTAAAATGGGTCTTTATTTGGAACATTTGTATATTACACTATTATTTACTCTAGGTATCCCAAATTTGTTTGGTTCTATATGCATGACTCACACTGTCTCTTCCCGCCTTTATCTCTATTTTCTTAAATGAAAACAAATAGAATGGCTTGAATTCTGGATTGACAAGATCAGTCAACTTTGCAGTTCTGTTGATGCCTAATAGGATGTTTATCGAGCTAGTATATACGCTTGCACTTGCATTCCTGATCAAATCACAAGTGCTCGGTAGGGAGCATGACCTCTAGTAGCTGGTAGATTAGAAGGTTAAGGTGTTGTACCTCTCTTCCTCTCTCCTTTTTGTCTGGATTTTTGTTAGGTAATAAAAAGTGTAGTCAGCTCCAATTTGTACACAACATTAAGTTGAACTGGTTCAAAGTGTGCTAAGGTTTTTTCAGGTGTATTTCACAAACTTTCTGAATATTATGAGATGTAAGTGTTCTCAATTAATAACTTGTGAGGTATCTCATTACTTAATTTCATTACTTCTTTTTTTGCACTATATTTATTTTTGTAATTGTATATGACTAATTTATTACTT